AGATGTTAGTACTGTAGCATACATGCTGTACCAATCATGTCTAGCTGCACTGAATGAACTTGAAACTGTTGCGTACGCTGTGTATCACATTTCGCGCTTTTTAACAAATTATAACATTGTTACAATTTATTGTTGTGTTCCTCCCCTATATAGTAAACATCTTATTATTCCTCAATTTCTTTATATTGCAAAAAACAAACCATACTGTAAAATAGTAACTATTTTATGCATCAATATGATTTTAAAAATTTATTTTCAATTTGTACAATTTTTTTTATACTGTCCTTTCAGGCATATTGTTTTTTTAATTTGTCATCATCTTCTGGCTTTATTCCACTCCAATTATTATTGTATTATTCATTTTACCCTCCTATATTAGTAAAAGTGGACCAAATAATTTGCTCTTGGTTGGGTTTTGGAAATATTATTTTGTTCAGCAATAAAATTAATATTTATCATTCTTCTAAACTATTTGTTCAGGCCTTAGAAAAAGAGTTTGAGTCATCGGGAAAAAAAAATTATTGTGAAGTTGTGCAGGAGTGGGCAAAAAAGTATGTTTACTGGGTGACTTCGTTGACACCTAGCAGAGATCCAATCGAAATGCTTGAGAAGTTTATGAGTTTAAAGAATCATATTCAAAACATTTATATTGGGCATTCAGAGCACTTCCCAAATTGCTTTCATCCTCCCATACAGGAAAAAAATAGGAAGAAATGGCGAAAAAAACCAGTTATAAAATATAAGCTTATAGCACAGGTAATCTAGTTGTGTAGCAGTGGGAAGAAAGACCCACAACTCTCCATTCCACAACTCAGTTCTCCGCCACCATCTGTTCGTTCAGCATTTAGCATACCAGAGAAAGATGTAGCAATAGCTAAACATCTTTCAAGATTTAGCAGTCTCACGTAAACAAGAATCTCAAACCAAAAGGCTCTTTTCAGAGCCATTATTTAACAAAAGAGAAGCAGTTGTATAGTCTGCGTTTTTTTAAATTTTTTTATTTCATTTAATTTGTTTACTCACATACACATACATAATGCTGTAAAACAACAAAAAAAAAAAAAGTGTATAGACATTAAGAGGCCAAAATAAGTTTAGAATCAAACTTTAAGCCATGACCACCAGTTAAAATTATATAAGGCATACATCAATAAAATATTATAAATACAATTTAATAATAAATAAACAATAAAGTTGAATTAAGGCAGTGTGTCATTATTTGTAGAAGTCTAATGAAGATAAGCCTATCCAATAGTGACGTTAAAGGGTCGAAACCAGGACATAACTCCGACTTTAGATTGAAAATGTTAAATACAGGCACAATGTATACATCCTATGTACAGAGTCCAGTTAGAATATGTAATTATGTATCAAATTAATATATTATTATTACTGTACTATTATTATTATTATTATCATATACATACATACATTAATAATTCCGCATGAAGGGCGATGCAAAGATGGATCCGTATTTGATGGAATCGAGGCATTTTGTATGTTTTTTTTAAAATCGTTTTGCGTATCACGTCGATATGCAGACATGGTTCCAAACTTCGGTCGGTCATAACAGGTCTCTTATACACATCT